CTGGGTAGGCTCCCACCTGTGTGAGGATAACCACGTTCCCCAAGGCCCGAACCTCGCAGGTGTGGCAGAGAGCGGTACAACTTCCTATCAATATTGCAGTCATTATGCTCCAGCCCACAGGAGGGCTAAAGTCTCTGCTGGGGGAAGTGGGAACAGATGTGCCTGCCCCTCAGGGCCCCGAGCATCAGTCCCAGCCCCTCTCTGTCGTAGGCTGGAGTTCAAGGCCGCAGCTCTAGCCTGGGTCCCAGCACCCCCTTTCTCCCTGCCCCTGTGAGTTGACCTGTTCCCCCCACCCCCACCCCGTGGTGTTGGGGATGGAACCTGAGGCCTTGGGGAGGGGGTGGAGGGAGGGGGTGCGCAGGCCTGGCTGGAAGTCGGTGCTTGGTGTGCTTTAACCCTTACACAGCGGGGCTGGGCCACGCTCTAAGGAAGCCCCCAGCCTCACGCTCGGCCAGCGGTTCTCAACCTGTGGGTCGCGACCCCTTTGGCGGTCAAATGATCCTTTCACAGGGGTCGCCTAAGACCATCCTGCATATCAGATATTTACATTACAATTCATAACAGTAGCAACATTACAGTTATGAAGTAGCAACGAAATTAATTTTATGGTTGGGTCACAACATGAGGAACTGTATTTAAAGGTCCAGAAGGTTGAGAACCACTGCTCTAGGCCCTTCACAGACCGGGGCACACTCCCTCCTCACGGCTGCCTGGTGTGGTGGGTGCTGCATCCCGTGTTCTATCAGCGCTGTCGTGGCTCAGAGAGGTTAAGTGACTTGCCCAGAGGAGCCCAGCCTCTCCGACAGTGTGAGCAGCACATTGCTTTGCCATAGAATGCCTGGCGCTCCCCTCCTGATCGCTGGGTAGGCTCCCACCTGTGTGAGGATAACCACGTTCCCCAAGGCCCGAACCTCGCAGGTGTGGCAGAGAGCGGTACAACTTCCTATCAATATTGCAGTCATTATGCTCCAGCCCACAGGGACTCTACATGGCTTTACCAAGGCACAGTCCCTCTCCAGGCCTCAGTTTCCCCGTCTGTAATGTGGGGTGATAACACTTACCTGTCTACTTGCCTAGGCTATTGGGAAAATACAGGGCGGTGTGAGGATAGGTGTTTTAGGGAAAATTAAGCAGTGCTCAGTGTTTGCTCATTTACTGAAACAAGCTGATTGAGGGCTAAAGTCTCTGCTGGGGGAAGTGGGAACAGATGTGCCTGCCCCTCAGGGCCCCGAGCATCAGTCCCAGCCCCTCTCCGTCGTAGGCTGGAGTTCAAGGCCCCAGCTCTAGCCTGGGTCCCAGCACCCCCTTTCTCCCTGCCCCTGTGAGTTGACCTGTCCCCGTCCCTGCCACCCCACTCCCCGTGGTGTTGGGGATAGAACCTGAGGCCTTGGGGAGGGGGTGGGAGGAGATGGTGCGCAGGCCTGGCTGGAAGTCAGTGCCTGGGGTCTCCACCCCTTGACCCCATCCCTGGGAGTGATGGCCCCTCCCGGGCCTCTTGGACCAAAGGACCATCAGAGCAATTGCATCTGGAGCAAGGAGCAAGGAACGGATGGGGGGCTTCGGTGGGGCTCAGGAAATGGCGGTGGCATCGTAGCCTGAACAGTGTTAGAGATTAGAGGAGGGGGTTAGAGGCTTGTCCCTGTCGTGGGCCTGGCGCCCAGCACACAGTAGGTGCTTGGTAAGTGCCTGTGGATTTTGGTGGTGGGTCTATTCATGGATGCGAGTGTGGCTGTGCAGCCCTGGGGTGCAGAGTGTGTCTGGCTGTGGTCTCCCAGTGGCTGTGGGATTGTCCGTGCATCCGTGTGTGCATGGTGGGTGGCACCCTGGTCTCCAGGCACAGTTGGGCTTTCCTCGCCATTACTTGTTCCCAGTCAGAGGCCACGGTTCCGCCCCTGAGCACAGCTGTGGGCTCTCAACTTCTCTCCTGCGGGCCCCGTACAGGCCCAGCCTGCTGCTCCCCTTGGGGCCTCGCGTCTTCCCAGCCACCGCAGAGTGGCCGTGGGGGTGTCACCAGGCTTAGGGTGTGTGGGATGCAGAGCCTGTGGGAGGGGGCGGGGCCCCTCCTCTGTCACAGAGACTGCCTGGGTGCCAGCCCCAGCTCAGCCACTTCCCAGCTTTGTAACTTCAGGCCAGCCCCCAAACTCTGGCGTCAGTTTCCCCATCTGTAGTGGGGGTGATGAAACTAGCCCGCAGCGCAGAGGGCTGCCCCTGAGGAAGCAGCGAGCCCTGAATAGCTGAGGAGCGTCGAGCCCATGGAAATGGCCTTGGCTTGTCCACAGGTGTTGGGTTCCCTCCTGTGCTGCACAGGTGCCCCCTGTGGGGCAGGCTGCCGAAGCCATTGAACCTCCGGGCACCGAGCTTTCATGGACCTTCTCCTTTGGTCTTCACTCTGCTCCTACTCACACAGGAAGCGCCGTACCCCTTACCGCAGCTGACAGTAGCAAGGCTTGGCGAGGGCAAGTGACAGACTGCAGGTCCTCAGTTGAGGTGGGCGGGGGCGGCAGATGGGTTCGGACTCAGTTTGAAAACGTGTGGGCAGGGGATGGGAGCGGTGTGCACGTAGGGTGAGTGTGGGT